AGAGTACTTCTGGGATGGACATGCATATTATCCTCTTCTTCTGTCATTGAACTGCCTGGGTTTTATTAATTACGTTTACTTATTTAACTTGGAAAATACACCTCATTATGACTCGCAACATTTCTTTTTCAGTAACAATGTTTAATGTTCAAATCTTAATTCAAAAGTTAAAGAGGTCAATGTTGCTGAATGACTTAATTTAATTTCATGTTTCAGTTAAATCACAATATTTATAATATGATGAAGAAGCTTGAGGATCAGCACTCCACCAAACCCTTCATCATCAAAGGCCTGAACAGGTAATATTTCTATTTGGAAATAATTCATTTCTATGAAGATCTACTGTGGCCCCAAAGTTTAGACTACTGATCCATATTCAAAATGCATGAATAATTCCATAAAATAATAATAAGAAAAATAAAACAAGCACTTTGCCAGGAAAACCTTTCATAAAACTTTGTGGCTGTCAACTTAATGGAACATGATGAACATCTTACTTTTGGTTACCCTGATAGGACACCTGTACGAATTTGAAGAGTTAAAGGATGCATTAAATTAAAGAAAAGTAACCATAAATACATTTATATGGTTCCAAAACTTTCAAAACTTAAATTAATGCTTTCACTTTTCAATTCATCAAAGAATCATGACAAAAAAAAAAAATGATCACATTTCCCAGCGACTGTTTTCTGTCATCGATAATAAATATTTCTTGAGCATCCAATGAGCATATTAGATTGAAAGTTCACCTTTTCCATCACATAAATAAATCATTCAAATGGAAAGGATTTATTTTAAATTGTAATATTTCATAAAATATTCTAAAATAATTATTTAAAACTTGTGAACTATAGTGTACTTCTTACAAAAGTTGGTTAGATGGCATAGCAAAGGAGAGTGTAAGTTAATTATAGGTAAAGACCTTGAATGATCTGTTTACGTAAGTGTGGATTAAGTGCTCATATACTTTTTGTGGCCTTTGAATATTGCGCGTCTTTAAAAGTAGGACGTCGTTGTACCAATTAAGAGAAAAAAAGTAGGAAATGTGATAGAAACTCAGATTTGTGAAATAATTTAATTGAGTTTTTATCTTTTTTTTTCTCAAAATGCTGTTTATATCTTGTAATTCTGACAATTGTGAGAAATAAAGTTAGAATTGTGAGATACAAACTGGGAATTGCAAGGAATTTATAACTCGATTTTATAACTTTCAATTCTGACTTAATTCCTCGTAATTCTGAAAAACTTCCACTTTTATTTTTTGTTCTGTGGTAGAAGCTTTTCATAGAAATCAAAGCCTTTTTGTTCTGTATTGTCTTTTTATATCCCTTGTTTTCTTCCTCGTTTGTTTAGTTCTAAATCCAAGAAGAGAAAGTCTGTCACGATCTCTGCACCCATCCCCTGTAACACCGCCTTCCCTTCGGATCATCCGGGCATGAGCAAGCTCAGCATGCCCGACACCCTCACGGACATGCGTTCACACACTTCCTCCAAAAGCACAGGAAGCACAGCATCTGAAATATCAGACTCGGAGTCGAACTCTTTTGACAGTGAGCCCAACACACCCAAACGACAGTCTTTGTGTTCGGAGGGTGAAGGGGTTCGATCTGTGGGAGCCGCCGAAAACCTGTCGGAAAGTACCACTGATGAGTCTGTGCAAGCAAACGGCCAGGAACATCAAGGATCAGTGGCCACTGAGCACTGTGAAGAGGAGGACGGTAAATCAGAAGCATCATCAGAAGACACCCATCATGCATCTGCAGATGGAGACAATGAGGCTAAGCCCTTATCGGGCGACAAAGACAAAACAGCACCTGTCCCAAGTCCTCGAACACCCAGCTTCTCCAAGAAAAATGAAGGAGAGATGGATCAAAATACAACGGGATGCAGAACGATGGAGGGAGCAAAGGAAGACGTTAAAGCCCAAAATACAGAGTATGAAAATCCTCCTGGCTTCCTCGATAAGGTACAGTGTCTTTGGAAGTGTTAAAACAAGGAAAGTCGTTGATTTGTATTTGTGTGGGTAATCAGTGCTTTAGTTTTATTCTTTTCCATAGGCTGTTGCTCTGGAGAATCAGGACTCAGATGAAGGTGTGCTTCTGCTGTTTGAAAAGGGAGATGTGATCCTTATATATGTCGATGAAGAAGAAAAGGTGAGGTTTATATATGTTTGTTGTATGTCATAAGAGTTTTTACTTGCATCTGGGAACTGGGTTTGGAATTGGGAGGTTGTTGGTTCCATCACTGTTAAGGGAACTGTTGTGTCCATAAGCATATTGGGGGACAGTAAGATTCTTGTTTGTTTGATTTTTATTCAGCAAGGATGAATTACATTGCACAAAAGTAACAGTAAAGGCATTTATGATGTTTCAGACTATTTCTTTTTCCAATAAATGCTGTTATTTTGAACTTTTTCAAGATTCCTGAAAAATAAGTCATGATTTACACACAAATTTCTGCTGTTTTCAACAATGATAATTATAATAATAATTTCTTGAGCAGCAAATCAGCATTAGAATGATTTCTGAAGGATAATGTGACAGGCTGACGTAATGATGCTGAACATTCAGATTGCTATCACAGGAATACATTTAATTTTAAAACCTATTATAATAAAAAACATTATTTTAAATCAATATCAAAATGTATTTATTTGTTTTCAAATAAATGCAGCATTGGCTTTTTAAAATATTAGAAAATCTTACTAACCCAAAACTTTTGAACAGAAGTTTTTTTTTTCCTTTCCAAATTTCAGTTATTAATACCTGAATAACTTGCCCCCATCATGACTTTCAAATCTCATTCATGCTTTTGTATGTTCACATTCGCCGTGTCATGCTCATGCGTAAAAAAACAGTTGTATTTGGCATCAGCATCATAATGCAGCGACTTTCGAATAGAATACAAATGTCGAAAAGAATTTTAGGATGTTTATCAGTGAATAGTTTGTATGGACTAAAATAATGCTTTTTGTAAATGTTATTTTTATTTATTATTTTTTATTATTAGCTTTGATAAATGATTTGTTCATTCTAATGAATCAGTCTGAAATTTATTAGTACTTTTCAGCATTCTTGTAATGTTGTGAAAATCTTATATTGCAGCCGGAGGGCACAGTATGGGGTGTGAGAGAGCAGGACTGGATCCAGTACAAGGATCTAACACTACTCTCTGGCATTGTCAAGGAGACCATGATTAAGCGCATCACCTCTGATTAAGATGACATGTGATGGATGTGAACGCGAGGTGCCTTGAGTCCCTGACTGGATGTCGTAATGTGAACTTTGTCTGCCCTTTCCACTCTAGGCACAAAATACAGTCTGACTTCTTTAGTGTATGGTGTCTTTACAAGTTTCTGTCGCAGCCTCAAGCCTTCATGCATTTCTTCAGTTTCATTTGCATGAATGAAGCCAAATATTTTGTATCAGAAAAAAAAAATTGTTGCGTATTATGCAGAAATATTTCAAAACATACTGCACTTTCTGGTGTTTTGTTGAACTAGCTGTGATCTCTGCTCTATGTGTGTAATGTAATTGTCAATGATGTTTGTTTCTCTTATAAACTCAGTGTTAAAGATTGACTACCAAGCTTTTTACAATGTTTACAGGACCAAAAAATGTGTTTATGTGAGTATTACATGGAAACCGTTTTCTTAAATGAACAGAGAAATCTATTGTTTTTACTATAATAAAGTTGACTGCTGAAAAAAGTTCTGTATTGAATTATTGTATGACCAGTGCTCAGAGTGGGGAAAAAATGCAAGTGTCATTTTTATTTGCATAATTTATTTTTGCTTCTCTCAGTATCAACAATCATTAAATACTGATCTTTATGTAGAAAATATACTAGGTGACACAGCGAGGGCTTGGAGCCAGAGGGGCGTAAGTGGCATTTTGGGTGAATATGAGTTTTTTTTATATATATCAAAATAAAGGTCTCCATGAGCTCTATACAATGGTGCCAAAATACCTATCTGAGATATAAAGCAGCAAAAAGACGTATCTGACATATTTTACTTTTTTTTTTTTTTTGAAAACGTTTTAGAACATTTTTATTGTGTTAATATGCCATACATTTTTTACTTAAATACTCATTCATGTATGTATCCCTGTGGTTGCAGTGTTTGTGGTTTAAGGTTAATAATACAGGTGATTGAAGTGTGGTCAAAATTTTGTTTTGTCTCTCCTGTAAAGTTTGTTAAAGCCCTTGACAGGTAAGCCACCAGGTTACTGGCTGTAAGTATTCCTCTATATTGAATTAATATGAGAAATGGTGTGTGACAACAAATTTCTAAAAAAAAAAAATAGTAATATTTTATTTTAATTCTTTTATTTTATATTTTAAATTAAAAAAAAAATCATTTAAAAATGGTTGGGGTAAGTTAACAAACTTGTTGGGGTAACAATCACACGTGAAGCACTTGCTATGGTTTTGTGACATCTAGTGGACATTAGTGGAATTTCCAAAGTTTTGCACAATCATTTGCGTGTTAACATTTGCTCTCTGTCACAGGAACACTCTCATACAACAGAGAAATGATGATGCGACTAAAAATATGCATTTCCATGCGTCATAAAATGTACCCATACACTGTATATTGTAACGTTTTACTGCACATTTGCCATAGTGTAGAGAAACAACATAGTTTACATATATTTATACAACTATTTTTGTATATAATACTTACCGAGTAAATCTAACTCGCTTGTAAATTACCATAGAGGTGATATTATCGAGCCTAGTATCTGCTCAAGATGGCAGGAAGTTTATATGGAATAAAAGTGCAACTACAAGATATTACCACCAGCAGCAACAACTAGTACAGCTGGGATTACTTAGTCCTAGATGTTATTAGTTATATTAACATCACCATTACTTCTACTTTTAATAGTACAGCTACCGCATTTAAGAAAATATACACTTTTTCCAAAATAAAAGTTTCAGTCAAGTCAGTGTCTAAAAGACGTGTCATTTTCATCCATACCCGTTGGTGTCGCTGTTTTCTGCTAGATCGACGGCGACACATGATTTCACTGTACATCGGAGAAGAGCAACAACAATAACACGCAGTCAGCGCGGGTTATGGAGCAATAAATGACAGTGAACGTCGATTGGTCGTTTGAGGCGGTCTTACTGTCGTTCATAAAACTCCGGTCAATGTCAATTCTGTACTAGTAACATTAGCTGTTACTGCAGCTGGATCAGCGCTGTCTCCAGGTCAGAAGAGCGGATGCTCCTGAACAACTATTTTTAGTAAGTGGATAGTTCTTTGTTGTTTGGGGGATTTTTCAATAATGTTTTCCTTATTCATGTATATTTGACGACAGGAATGGCATTCAATAAGAAGTATGTAAGCGTGGGCTACTCTTGTGTTGGGATGTTGGTGGGATTTTCGGCGTTTCTAGTGTGGAACATCGCCTATAAACAGCCGTGGACAGCCGCGATGGGTGGATTATCAGGTACATTCTTTGGCTCTGTCTCAAATGCAGGTGAACCGCCTACCTAGATAGCATTATTGGGCATCATGAACTGTTGCTGAACGCACCTGGGATGCCAAAAAATGTTGTTTAGGTTGGCAAATAATAAGGTTTAGTTTAGCCTAGGACAGTGTTCAAATAGTTTTTGGTATGTTTTGTAATGGATTTTTAACCCATTCAGACCCTGTGTCCATTACAATGGACATCACATGTCAGCCCCCTTTTTTAACTTCTGGAGCATTTCACCTAGTTTAAAGCATACAGTCCATGAGATTGGACGTTTGTCATCCAATCAAATGCCAGTAAAGCTCTGCATGTAGTAATTATATATATAAAAAAAACCTCTACATTGAAGAGAAGCATGGCAGCACTTCACTCCAAACACAGAAGCAAGCAACATTTTCTTTGGTGTATTTACATTTTGTATATATTTTTGCCAGTATTTCATAGTTTGTTTGTTTGTAAAATAGAAAGATTGGACTAATTAATTAAAGTTAATTAAAGTGAACTAAATAATTAATTAACTAAACTAATTAAAGTTAAAAATCGACTGGAGAATTGCATGGTTTAAATCAGGATTTTTTTAAATGTGTCTGTCCATTAGAATGGACAGTAGGTTTGAAAGCCTGTTATTGAAGTCACATTTTCAGTGATGCTGATTGAAATTTCTTTTATAAAAAAAAATATATATATCACAGTACCGATACATTTTTTAAACTTTTGAAACAGAATATACAGTTCTGAAGTGCTTGAACATATAGCTGATGAAAATATCTCAGATGTTGACTTTATGTGGAGTAATGAGGAAGATGGAGATGTAAGAAAAATATCCATATTTAAAACTTTATAAAGTAAAATAACTTCCGGCCAAAAGAACATATGGATTTGACTTAAATCTAAAGCGCAACTTAAATATGAATATTTTAAATATTTTATATATTTTTTTTTATGGATAGATGCACTTTTATGATGGATAGATGCACTTTTATCATGGATGAATGCACTTTTATGATGGATAGATGCACTTTTATGATGGATAGATGCACTTGTATCATGGATAGATGCACTTTTATTGACTTTCAAAACAGAAACAACCATTTACAGCCAATATAAAGCTTGGAAGGGCCAGGACATTGTTTAATATAACTCTGATTGTTTTCTTCTGAGAGTAGAATGTCATATGGAATGTCAGAGATGCACCAATTACAGTTTTCCAGGCCGATTTTCCTTGAGTTTGACCTGCCGATACCGATTTTAGCCGATTCCGATTTCATTTTTTCAAACCATTTACAGCACACACAAATATATTTATTTTCTATCTTCTCTTTAATAGAACATTTTGCATAGAACATTTTTGAACAGATAATCACTATAAAATGGAACTATATAAATTACTCATGGTGTGGGAAATTCACACACATCTAAAGTGCAGTGTTATGGAAGAACCATTTCCTTTTCACATGCAATAACCAACTAAAAAAAATTGATATATTTAGCACACTAAACTTTTTTATGAAAACAGGTAATGGCAATAAAATAATATATACATAACAAATAAAAATAAACTTAAATATAGCCTTGCTTGCAGTATATAGATATTTCTCTCTCACACACAGACACACAGGCCTATTGCAATATTTGTACATCAATGGCAAGTTATATTTCTCAAACAGTTCAGCCAGGCTAAACAGGACAAGTGGAGCATGTGCAAGGACACGATTGGGAAATAATAAAAACAAGTTTAAATGGGTACATTTTCTATAAATATTTTTGAGTCTTCATTTTCTTTTCTGACATAGCCTAGCCAAATTCTGTGCATTTTGGACACTTTTTGGATGAAATCATATTTATTTTGTTCATCAAAAGTGTGCTTTCACTTTAATTGAGCGCAACAACAACAGTCTCGGCGCCGAAACCCGCGCTTCACTAACGCCCACACGACGCTTCTGTCGTTTTTTTTTTTTTTTTTTTTTTGGTGCGAAAAAATAAGTTTCTCCAATCTTCTCAAAACTCTGGATTCTGATAGAGGGCCATAAGACTTAGACCTGAGTGCAAAAATGGAGTCTCTAGGCCCTTCCAGAGCTGAGATATTGAGATCGCACGGAGCATTTATGCCATTAAAAAAATCTCAATATCTCAGCTCTGGAAGGGTCTAGAGCATCCATTTTGCACTCAGGTCTAAGTCTCATGGCCCTCTATCAGAATCCAGAGTTTCAAGAAGATCAGAGAAACTCAAAATTTCGACCCAAAAAAAACGACTTTTTTTTTTTCGGTGTGAAAAAATACGATTCTCCAATCTTCTCAAAACTCTGGATTCTGATAGAGGGCCATGAGACTTAGACCTGAGTGAAAAAATGGAGTCTCTAGGCCCTTCCCGAGCTGAGATATTGAGATCCCACGTAGCATTTATGCCATTATAAAAATCTAAATATCTTAGCTCTGGAAGGGTCTAGAGCCTCAATTTTTGCACTCAGGTCTAAGTCTCATGGCCCTCTATCAGAATCCAGAGTTTGGAGAAGAAACTTATTTTTTCGTACCGAAAAAAAAAACGAAAGGGGTACCACTGTTGTTTTTTTGGGGGTCGAAATTTTTAGTTTCTCTGATCTTAGTGAAACTCTGGATTCTGATAGAGGGCCATGAGAGTTAGACCTGAGTGCAAAAATGGAGTCTCTAGGCCCTTTCAGAGCTGAGATATTGAGATCCCACGTAGCATTTATGCCATTATAAAAATCTCAATATCTTAGCTCTGGAAGGGTCTAGAGCCTCCATTTTTGCACTCAGGTCTAAGTCTCATGGCCCTCTATCAGAATCCAGAGTTTGGAGAAGATTGGAGAAACTTCGTCGATGTTTAACGCCTCGTGACTAAACAATGGGCGCCAATGTGAGTGTTCACACCGACGCGAAAAACGTCACGTTTAAAAGCGTCATTTTTAAAAAAACGCCTCGGGTTCATTTTTTTGGTTTGACGCACCGCGTCAAAACCTATCCGACTAACAAGATTGGCGGGTTTGCTCACGTGTCTGGTACTTCTGAAGTTACAGTAAAACACAACTTGGGGGCGCTCAAACACAAAACGGTCTTGCCGAACACACATACGGCGTAGAAGAGATAAGATAAGTTACCTATGGGCAAGATGAATGTTGAGCTGCTGGTCTCTGAGCATAAAGAGCTATTAATAACATTTATATTAGTATTTCTGTAATAATAGTATAGTATAGGGTGACCAACAGTCCTGTTTTCCCGGGACATGTGTAAAACGGTCACTTTGTGCTTTATAGAAATCTGAGTTGAGATGAGAACTGCGCATATAGTGTGCGTAGTGTCAGTTAGATTTTGACAAGTGAAGAGAGGAGATAACCGCTCTGCCGACTCTTTGTATTCTTTCTTTTATTTTATTTTTCTATTGTTTGTGTTTTTTTTTCTCGCTCCATCCCCATGTATGATTACGAGTGTAACGTTTGAGTGGTTTTATTAAACTCGGGGAAATACGACAACTCTCGTCTCTCGTGCACCTGTTCATCCGACAACAGCTATGTTTTTATCTCTGGGCAACATCTCAACTTTGCGTTACACATGTCCTGTTTCCACGTCCTGTCCTGGCTGTTTTTAAGTGATGAAAATGTCCTGGTTTTCAAAAAAAAAACTGCTGGGAAAGATCAGTTCTACAGCAAAATATAGATGGGCAAACAAGGTGGACGAGGAAGAAATTAAAACAAGATAAAGAGAATGAAAACTAAAGATATAAATAGATTTTGTTAGTTTGTTTTGTAAGTTTGTGAGAGCTATTTTTTGTTACATTTGGGGGCATTTCTTTTAGTTATTTGTTATTTAGATATTTATTTTTCTAATACAGATTATTTCTATCATTATTTCATTCGTTTTTTTATCTGTCATAAAACATTGAGACATGAATATGATCACCCTAGTATAGTATTCTATTATCATTTCTGTTTTACATTAAACGCCATCTAATGTCAGGGAATGAATTTGCATGTTCATTCGGCTCATCGTCAGCGAAAAACGCTTGGGTGTGAACACAAAAAACGCGTTGAAAAACGCTGACGAATAACGCGCGCTGATATTCTTAGCTCTGGAAGGGTCTAGAGCCTCAATTTTTGCACTCAGGTCTAAGTCCCATGGCCCTCTATCAGAATCCAGAGTTTCAAGAAGATCCGAGAAACTCAAAATTTCGACCCCCCAAAAAAACGACAGTGGTACCCCTTTCATTTTTTTTTTCGGTGCGAAAAAAAAAGTTTCTCCAATCTTCTCAAAACTCTGGATTCTGATAGAAGGCCATGAGACTTAGACCTGAGTGCAAATATGGAGGCTCTAGACCCTTCCAGAGCTAAGATATTGAGATTTTTATAATGGCATAAATGCTACGTGGGATCTCAATATCTCACCTCTGGAAGGGTCTTCTAGAGACTCCATTTTTGCACTCAGGTCTAAGTCTCATGGCTCTCTATCAGAATCCAGAGTTTCAAGAAGATTGGAGAAACTTATTTTTTCGCACCGAAAAAAAACGAAAGGGGTACCACTGTCGTTTTTTTGGGGGGTCAAAATTTTGAGTGTCTCTGATCTTCTTGAAACTCTGGATTCTGATAGAAGGCCATGAGACTTAGACCTGAGTGCAAAAATTGAGGCTCTAGACCCTTCCAGAGCTGAGATATTGAGATTTCTATAATGGCATAAATGCTACGTGGGATCTCAAAATCTCAGCTCTGGAAGGGTCTAGAAACTCAATTTTTGCACTCAGGTCTAAGTCTCATGGCCCTCTATCAGAATCCAGAGTTTTGAGAAGACTGGAGAAACTTATTTTTTCGCACCGAAAAAAAAACGAAAGGGGTACCACTGTCGTTTTTTTTGGGGGGTAGAAATTTTGAGTTTCTCTGATCTTCTTGAAACTCTGGATTCTGATAGAGGGTCATGAGACTTTGACCTGAGTGCAAAAAATGGAGGCTCTAGACCCTTCCAGAGCTGAG